TGAAAGAGACTGATAACAATGGCACAGAATGATGGATTCCTAGCTTTTATTGTGAGGGGCAAGAGGGGGGAGATAGGTAGGAATTTGCATGTGTTCAATTTATTACCTTGCTTTTTTCTCTTCTTCAGCAGCCTAAAGTGAATTATGAGCGATTCTGTTCAATTTTTTCCCCGTTTTACAAAGGCATTGCTATTTTCATGGCTTTGGCTAAATGTTGGGATGTTCAGAAAAGAGACAAAGGCCAGTTTGCATAGAAATTAAGGAATACTGTTCCATGTTGTTAGCTTCAGTTGTTGATGGACTCATAGCAACCAAGAACGTAACTCAGATTTCATTAATTATCTCAGTTTCATCAATAGTTTCACGTTTCTTTCAATTTGAATCAGAAAAGTGAAAACATCTCGTGGCGCAAGGAATTCGATGCATGATCACAAATTCATCGAACCAAGAGTTGATTTAACTAGAAACATGGAGCATGAATATTGTGGATGTGTTACTCTTCTGTTTCTGGCCTGAAAGAAGCTGATAGAATTAGAAGATCCAAATGATGAAGAGAGAGACGGAGAGGTTATTGGGCGTAAAAGTGTGTCTTAATATGAATGAAAGGGGCCTTTCAATGGGTGACGGGGGGACCATTTAAGGTTGCTAATTGCAGCTTCCTTCATTTTCTTGGGATCACAGATAAGAGCCTGGCCTTCTATTGGGGCTATGGGGGGAGGGGACCCTTATCCAAGATCCTCATGATTCTCTTTGTTCCTCCATGCTTTTGGATTTTACCTTCCTTCGTGACTGGGTCCCACTTCTCCTTTCTCTGCAACTCGCATTCACATGGTGACCCATTGTGAAAAACCAGAGAGATTCCCTTTCTTGGCGTTTGCAGCATCGAACAGGTGAAAACCCCAATGGTTTGTGGTTTCAGGTCATTTTTTCTTCTCTTCATTGAGCTTATTGGAAGCTTCCGTTATTTCCAGGTCCAAACAAACCATAACAGTTACTCCTAAAGAATAGGGTGGAGAGAGAGAGTTTTTTTTGTCTTGTTTATAAGTGGCTTCATTAAATTTTTAAGGTGAATATATTATTTTGTCCTTCATTTGTTATAGTTTAAGTAGTTATCTCTTTTGAAAGGTGTATATATTAAATATAGGTAAAATTAAAAAATTATTATATTTTAATAGAGTTAATACATCTTAAGTTTTTTTTTAACCTATATAAAATATGTTAAAAGTGTCTTATAAACAGGATCAGAAAAATAACATAAAGTAGGCTCTAAATTTTAACAAATCTCCTATCTTATTCAACCTATTGGACCACTCTACCCATGAAGCAGACTAATGGGCTAGGCCACGAGAAACTCTATCGGCCTAGGGATCATCTCCCCCCCGGGGCGATTTTTTTTTTGGGTTTAAATATAATCTTGTTCATGATAGTATCATACACTAAATGTGAATACAATAGAAATTCGAATCTTATTCATCACGTTACGGGCACTAACTCTTTTCATTAGACTTAACTCCTATTGGTTGCTTCTTTTTTTAATTAGAAAATATCAGTTAAGTTTCAAGATACCAATTTTCTGAAAAATGAATCAGAAGTGTCCATCTAAATTATTGCAAATTTTGGAATCTCACCCGCAAATAAGATATTTAACATTCTCAATTCATAATTGAGATCTTTGACCTAACTGTCATCCTCCCTTAATTAAATCTTGTATACACAAGAGGCCGACCTCCAGGACTCTTTCGAATTCGTTTGTGGTGATCTGAAAATTACAACTGATGCAATGTTGTTCACTATAATTACAAACACACTTCCATCGCCACGCTAATCTGTAATAGCTACACATACAATCCAACCAAACAACAAAAACAAAGCACAAGCTTCGGAAATAATAATAATAATATTTCCCAAGAATCCATGTGGCCATTAGATGATTGACTCGTCCCCAGCATCTGCAAGCAAAGAAATTAAATTAAATTCGCTCAAATCTGATGAGAACTCCAATGAAGAAGAAGGACGGTAAAGGATTAGGCACCTTTCGCAGGAACTACCACGACAGGGGCTACTTTACAGTGGTGAAAGCAGTATTCACCAACGCTTCCCTGCAGTACACTGAATAAATTTACATGCATAAGAACTCCAGAAATTCAAGAGAACGCACGAGGGCATAATTGTGGCTCGTCCAAGCATCATACAAAATACATTCCATCCAGTCCATGACAAGTTCACAGGTTTAGAACTATAATTTGAAGCATATTGCTTAGATAATGTCGGGCATATTTACACATATACTGATGATTATTTTAATCAATTCATCTTTGATAGAGGGAGTATTGTTCTGAATCACTCAAGGGACAAGAGAAAGGGAAGTGAAAAGTTAAATCAAACCTTTGAATTAAGCTTCTGCCTCTGGTTCCCAGAACCACAGCCGCAGGCTTGATTCTCTCTGCTTCCTTGCAGATTGCTTTTCCAGGATCGCCTTCTACAATCCGAGCCACTGTCTTCACCTGCTTCCACCCCAACATCAGTACCACAGATCATCATCAAAAGGAGCAGCAGGCTAATGGACAAAACTTGGACACACTAAATCTGTTCCTTTATATATAAAGCAACGAAACATTTATGAACCATGACAAGAAACTCTATGACATGCTAGATGGTTTCTAGCTTAGCAAAGAAACACTACAATTGTTGAAAAGAAGCTGCATATCGAATTGCCAAATCTGAATATCAGCATTTACCAAGGAGTGGCATTGCTTATTCGAAGTTCAGGAATCTAGCTAATACATAAAAAGCTCTCAGTTCGAATCCATACAATTGTATTTATTGTAGTACAGGTTCACCTCGTTGAAAATGGCATCAGTTCTTCCCAACATTTTACAGTGATGAATACAGGAAATGGCAAAAGAATTCATCTCTGAGCTACTTTTTCCCCTTTAATTACAGTCCACACATCTCAAGGACTACTCAAAGCGCTATCAAATTATAATCAGTGGGAGCCCAATTTAAAGAAAAAAACTCACCATTGCAACTTTATAGGCCTCGACCGCTAATTGCTCCATGAGGCTCTGGGTGGTGTCGTAAACAATCTGGTTACTGACGTCTGAAAAATAACAAAAAAAATTTCGAGATTAAATACAAATTCTGGGACTGGGTTAGAGAGAGAAAGAGAGAACAGTAGTATCATATATTGTGAAGGTGAAATTTCAATTTAGCTGTTATGTTTGGTTGACGAGTTACTCAAAAGCATTCAAGTCGAGCTAGATGTTATGGTTAGAAAGAAAATGAGATAAGTGAAAGATGATGAGAACTGGGGACTAACCGGAGACGGCGTGAACGAGATGGATAGTGTCGGCGAGGCGGCAGAGGTGGATGAGAACCCAATCAAAAGCGTGCTTGCTGTTGGGGCCGTGATCTATAGCTACCAGTATGTCTCTTCCTCTTCTTCGTTCTCCTGTTTCCCTATCAAGTTCTGGCGGAGGCACCTTCGGAATCATCGACGGAAGTACCACTTCTCTGTAACTGTACTCTTCTACGTCCTCCATCACCGGCTCCATTATTTTCCTTCACCCCACAACGATTTAGCCTTTTCTTTGCCTCCCAAGCAGCTGGCTCTGAGCGTCGACTGCGATTTACGAAGTTGGCAAACGCGTCAATAGATAGCTAGCTCGTGCTTTTCTGGGTCTTCATGCACCGAAAAAAGGTAAAAAGAAATTTCCACAATGTCATGATCAATTTTTTTTTTTTGACCAGGAATTTCGTGATCAATTTGATCACTGTGATCTGTGAAGCCTTTTAAGCGTTCGAATTCAACTATCTTTATTCATGTGGTCGTCCATGGCGGCTCGTATACATTACGATTTGCGGCTATATATTAATTTGATCAATTTGTGGATATACATGGATTCCACGTCGGATTTCTTCAAGACTTCAGCTAACCAAGCGCGGTCGAGTTTAAGGAAGGCGATGCAAACCCGCTGTAGTACGGAAAGAGGGAGATATGAAAATGTCAATATTATTTAATTCAAAAAAATTATAATAAGGTCTCCAAAAAAATAATTATAAAACAAATCTTAGAAGTTATCATTTTCTATTACAAGTTACTTATATCGTTACTTTTTAATAATTATTTTTTTAACCTCATTCTAATTATTTCTTTAATTTATAACTAAAGACTTAAAATAAACAATAAATTTTAGAAAATATACAGCGTATTTCCATATAAATAATTTAATTAATAAAACATCTCATAACATTTAAGGATGGATTTTGACGTAGAAAATCACAACTGGTGAATGTTTCTCATAACTTTGCTTGGGTTCAGTGATTAATTTATTGGGCAAATATTTACATCAAATTCCTTATAATTATTTAATTGAGTTCTTTAACCACATATGAATGTGTACTATTTTGGGAATATTATTATTTAATAGTATTTAATTATAAATCTATATAAAAAAGTCAAGACATAGAGAATTTGATACAATAGATATAAAAAATTTGAATTAAGTATTTTTCCAAAATTATTTATGTGAGACCGCATAGTAATTTTTCTAATTTTTACCTCTAAGCAACTTAACCTTCACTTGAGCTTCAAGGGCAAAAAGAGAAACTCCATTTCCATCCACAAAGCTTTTAGTTTGATTAGCAGTGAGCATGATTGGCTAAGACCCACGACCCCTCCAAGAATGCTAGATTTTTACTCTTCAATATGACAATTGTTCGTCGATGACCTTGTGACTAAAATGGTATGAAAACCAGTGTAACTGCAATCCTCTTTCCATGATACGATCTGCTAGATCCATTTTCACTTACAATATCATCCTTCTTTTAGTTTTCCATTTCTGCTCTCTTTAAACAGGATCACTTACGTTGTTGTGTTCTCCGTGCCCGAATCCAGATGGGTCCGTTTAAATTGCATCCCAGATCCAGGCTAAAATTCTTCCAGTTCTTTTGGATTGCGCGTAATATACGTAAACACAACTAAACAACTACAAAGAGCCTTTCACTTTTAATTTGATGCACTGAAAACTCCTTCCAGATTTAAGGCCGATCTTTCATTCAGATAGTGTAAACAAATCAAAACATTTTCGTCCCACAGATCTATGATGTTAGATATAGTCTATGTATGGCGTAGTCATTAGATGACTGACTCGTTTCCAGCACCTGCATTCACAAAAATTAAAATTGTTCAAATTTCATAGCTGATGTGCCAGAAGAAAGGATACAAGTATTCCCATGGAGCACAAACCTTTTCCAGGAACTGTCACGATGGGGGCTACTTTACAGTGATGAAAGCAATACTCGCTTACACTTCCCTGCAGTACACTGAAGAAATTTACACACATAAAAACACCAGAAATTCCAAACCATGGTTATCAGAGGCATATCGTACAATAGGGGTTCCTGGAGTGGACCCACTTCGCAGTGCGTGACAATATTAAAATGCAATGCACATCCTTGACAGAGTACACTTCCATGTACAGCTCCTACTCTCAAGTGACATATGAATTATGAAGGGAAAACAGAATACTAATCAGGCCTAAGAGAAAGCACAGGTACACCACAGCGAAGGGAACTACAAGCTGTTGAAGGGAAGAAACTAGAAAGGATCGAGATCTCAAAAGAACAAGTTGGAACGTAAGATAAGAAGCGTAAATAGAAGGGAAGGATGCGGGTGGGGGGGAGTTACTGAAGAAATAGGGAAAAATATGATCAGAACGGCAGAAGGAGATGACCTGAAACTATGGTGCAACCTCTGAGAGAAGGACGCGGGAGAGCTATGTAAAACATGTCACACATATTTTTCATTAACTACACTTGTGTCATATTTACGTGTTTATTTATGATTAGCTTAATTTATTTATCTTTGACCGAGTGTAACTGCTTCATAATCCCCTCAGAGAACACGCGAGCAAGAGAGGGAGGGAATTGAGAGGCTAAACCTTTGAATTAAGCTTCTGCCTCTGGTTCCCAGGACCACAGCCGCAGGCCTGATTCTCATGCTTCTCTGCAGAGTGCTTTCCCAGGATCACCTTGTGCGACCCGAGCCTTTGTCTTCACCTGCTTCCGCCATGAGTAGCGGTAGTCAGGACACATGATCATCAAAAGGGGCACCAAAGTCATAGAGAAAAGTTGGACTGGATCCACAATGCATTTTTTTTACGCGCGCGCACACACATAAAGCAACTAAAGATTTTGAGATCCATGACAAGAAACTCTTGGACATAGATGTTTTCTATTTTTCAAAGGAAACACTTCAACTGTTAAAAAGAGGTTTAAAGTCGAATTGCCAAGTCTGAGTCGTATAAATTTTTTAAGCAGTCATTCTGGGGTCTCCAAGCTGATGGCATTGGCGACACTTTTTGGGAGACCGATTTGACGAGAGATTCAGGTAAAGGATTGCCAGACTAACTGTTATTCCAGGGGGGGGCACAAAAAAGTTCGGGCCCAGACGTTGGCACAAAAAAGTTCGGGCCCTAATAAACAATTCATTATTCAGACTCAAGCATAGTCCAATTCCAATACAAAAGTTAACCATGTTGACAATGGCACAAGTTCTTCCCAACACTTACCCTGCGATCAATACAGGAGATTTTTAGCTTAAACCATCGAACACAAAGGAATTAGTCTCTATCTTGTTTTCCTTTTCTTAATCACACTGAAGATAGACTGTGATGAGCATAAGTTCAAGGGGAGATTCCCCAATGTGAGACGACTCATAACAGAGCACCCCTCTCGAAAGCCGACGTTCCCGATGACTCCATTCTACTGCACTTCACTCGGTTTTTTTACCGGTCAGAACCCTCCACAGGTAGCTCTTTCCGGTTAGCCAACTCTTAATGAAAGCATCAATGTGATGAGTATAAGCCTAATGGAAGAGTCCAATCCCAAAAGACTAGCCTATTAGGAAGGAGAGTCTCTTGAACTTATAAACCCCACAACACTTGTGAGATTCCCCAATAGACTCATAACATAGACTTTCCGAGACATCTCAAGGACTCGCTCTCAAATGTATATTATTGGTTAATAACAGGGAGGAACAAACCATTGCAACTTTATAAGCCTCAACCGCTAATCTCTCCATAAGGCTCTCGGTGCGTGCTTGCATGTGTGTGTGGGGTCATTATATATGAGACGTTCATGTATTTGAAAGGGAAATGGAAGATTAACGCGCGTGAGAGGTATAAATATTGATCTATGGACTCAGAATGAGGAAATGACAAGAATCGACATCACCTGTGCTGTGTGGCTCCGAAGTGATGGATTCAATCAAGATGAAGATAAGGAGCCAGCGTTGGGGACTAATTTCATTAGTGATGAAAATTATGGTTTTACCCATAATTTTTTTAGGGAAAATTCTAAAAAAATGATAGCTGAATTTCAAAATTTCAAATAAGTATTAGTTACCACACTCGTAAAGAAAATGACTACATTCAAAGAGCAAATGACAACACATTTTTGTAGTAATTCCTGATTTGAAATTTTGAAATTCAGTAGTTATTTTTTTGGAATTTTTCCATTTTTAATTGTGCTATAAATACGTAGTTAAATATAAGGGTAAAATATGTAACCAAAAAATAAAAACAAGGGCAATATATATAGTATATCTTTATAGAATGATTTTTTTTGATTGATTTTCCGAAGGATCTGGCTAAAGCGAGGGGATCAAAAAGAATGAAATTTTTTTTTGGCTGGGGGGCGGGGGGGTTTTAAAGTGAGGGTGAAACGAAAGGCTCTGCTCCTGCTGTTGTGTTGGTTCGTGCATGATTGGTCTCTTGAAATTGACAGGAGACAGTATTTAAAAAAGAAAAAAGAAGCTAAACTCAGATTCATCATCATTCATGAATGACGTAGCAGAGGCTCACGAACCGATATGTGCTTCCTCTCCGAATATATAGAAAACCCGAGAAAAAAGCCATGGCTGTCCCATTGGTAAATAAATCATCTTTGCTTTAATCACAACGATTCTTACGCCAGCGAGTGAGTAGTGACTCAGCTTCGTCCAATAATTTGTAATCTTTATGAATGACAGGATTTATCACAATTTCTGAATAGTACTACAAGTTCTCTTTTATATACATCAACCGAGACATGTGCGTTTGCATAGCTTCACGAGTCACTAATATTTCCTGATACACTCGCGTCAGAAAATATCACCGGCGCCGGTGAAGCCAAGTTTACCGATAATGGCCACAACTAGCAAGATTCTCTTCATCGGAGGCACTGGATACATCGGAAAGTTCCTCGTGGAAGCGAGTGCAGTCGCCGGCCACCCAACCTTCGCTCTAGTCCGCGATCGTCTACCCTCTCCAACCCTGCAAAGTCACCCATCATCGAAAAATTCAAGACCTTGGGTGTAAATCTTGTTCCTGTACGTATCTAAAATCTCAGTCTTTCTCCTTAAATATTGGACATCATCTCTCTCTCTCTCTCTCTCTCTCTCTGTCTGTCTAATTTCTGTTAATATTTTCCTTGTCAGGGAGATCTGTTTGATCATGAGAGTTTAGTTAAAGCCATTAAACAGGTGGACGTGGTGGTGTGTACGGTAGGTTTCAAGTTGTTAGCTGATCAAGACAAGATTATTTCTGCCATTAAAGAAGCAGGAAATATTAAGGTATGTTAAAGCATTTTGTTAGGGACACAACAACATGAAATGCTTCGTAAATCTGAGAATATGGTATGTTTTGTTGTGTTGATTATCACGTGCGTACGCAGAGATTCATTCCATCAGAGTTTGGGAATGATGTGGATAGAGTTGATACAGTGGATCCTGCAAAAACTGTGTTTGCCACAAAAGCAAGAATTCGCAGAGCCATTGAAACTGAAGGAATACCCTACACCTACATCTGCAACTTCTTCTTTTCTGGCTATTTCCTTCCAAGTCTGTGCCAGTCTGGGGCCACTGTTCCCCCAAGAGATAAAGTTGTGATCTTGGGGGACGGAAATCCCAAAGGTAATTAACACAACTTTAATAATTCCTATATATATATATATATATATATATGTCCACTTGAATAGACCCTATCTAATGCATGATTCATCAGCATGATCAGTACTACGTATATATACGACCTCAAGAATAATACGTGTTTTGTGAACACACAGCTGTTTTCAACAAGGAGGAAGATATTGCGATTTACACAATAAAAGCAGCGGATGATCCAAGAACCCTGAACAAATCTCTGTACGTAAAACCAGAGGCTAATATTTACTCATTTAATGAGCTTGTATCTCTCTGGGAGAAGAAGATTGGCAAGTCTCTTGAACGAGTGTACGTTCCTGAGGAGCAACTGTTGAAGCAGATCCAAGGTGAAGCGAGAGTAGTTATTAGTTATCTATATACTCTTCCGGTCCTTAATATATTATCTAATTTTTGAGTTGATTTTAGTTCTAAATATAAGACCCATTTCTTATATTTATCAATTTTTTCTAAATACCCTTATAGATACTCCCAACCATAATTAAGTAGAAGAGGAGAAGAGGGGAGGAAGTATTAAGAAAGATGATTATGGTGTTTTAAGAAAAATATCTCACTTTTTTATAATTAACTAACTTACCTAACTTTTTTAATCTAATCAAATTAGTTAAATGCATCTTATATTAAGGGACCGGAGGAGTACTACTATCATCCTAATTATAAGAGTTAGTTGACTAATGTGAAAATATTAAGGAAATAAGTTAAATTCGTTATTTTGTAATAAATATGTATTGTCTTTCCTAAAATATCCTTACTAACCAAGTGTGTTGACTAGGACACTACTATTATTAGAAAGATTACATTGAAAAAAATGTATAAATATTAGAGACAAGTGTATTTAGATCTTATATTTAAGAGTAAAATAAAAGTCAAACGATGTCTTATACTACCTCCGGTCCTTAATATAGAAACCCCTGTTTGACTTTTTATTTTGGTTCTAAATATAAGACCCCAATTCATTTTGTCTTCATATTTATGCATTTTTTCCCAAGGTAGTCCTTCTAATAATTATAGTCTAGCTAATATAGTTGATTAGTAAGGATATTTTAGGAAAGGAAAACACCTTATTACAAATAACAACTTAACTTCTTTCCTTAATCTCCTCAAATTAGTCAACTGGATCTTATAATTAGGACCGGAGGTAGTATTAAGGATGGAGGTAGTCTATATATAGGAATTAAAATTGATACATAAAAAGGTGATGTTAGTTGATGGATGAAGTGATGAATGAAATTGCATGCACGCAGAATCGTCATATCCGGAGGTAGTGTGTACTGTCAATAGGACAAGTGGTTTGTGAAGGGAGATCAAACTAGGTTTGAGATAGAGCCATCATTTGGAGTGGAGGCTTCTCAGCTCTATCCTGACGTCAACTTCACCACCGTGGATCAATTCCTTCAACGGTTTGTCTGAGAATAC